AGCCGTGCTGACCTGTATGACCTGAGCAAAGACCAAGAGCTGAACCTTGCCTACATTTCTTCTGTTCCACATGGCGGCATTGAGCAAGTTCGGATTCACTGGTTACTGGAATTAGTTGCTCTTAGGTAAGCAAACACCTCAAGTCAAAGGCTAGGAAAATGTGATACGTTGAAGGTTCCAACAGGTACTCACTTTGATGTTTATCTTAGCCGAATTGCAAGCTGGGCATATCTTTGCTTCCGTAGAAGTCAGCTAAGTTCCAACAGATGGGAATCATTCTGGAATTTTAAGAGATGAAGAACGACACAGTTTCTACTGAGAAGCTGAGAGATTAGAAAGATGGCTTACTTTTTAGTCCTTTAATGCAGGAGACGTGATACAGCCAAAAAGTCCAACAAAGATTGATACAAGTCTGACTTACTGAGAGGTCCAAATAAAAGCTGCCACTAGTCCTTCTGCCTGTATTAGGAATTACTTTTTGCCTCCTGAAGGCACCTGTGCACTGCATTCATTGACAGGTAGTGAGAATTAAAACAGGTGGACTCAGGTAAGACCAGTTAGTACCCTGTTCCAAAAGGAATAGATATGTTTGTTCATATACAAACAGCATTTTTAATTTTAGGGAAATGCATGTCAGACTTTAGGAGAACGCTTGGAATTCATTGCCTTTCAAGTCCCTTTTAACTCAGCTTGAACACACTTATATCAAGATCCCAGTGGAAACAGTCAAATAACCAGAAGCTTAGAGCAGGAGCAATTGGTCTATGAAGAAAGACAAACCATAAAAACCCCATGAAAAATTGTAGTAGCTCTTGAAAGTTCTGCTTGGCTCAGACTCTTGCTGAGCAGAGCATATTTGCGGTCCACATCATTGTTGCATCTGTTGTCCCAGACGCAGAAGAATGGGAATTTGCCACTGTGGGGAAGCAACAGGGAAGGAGAGTTCATACTCTGAAAATGGCATGTGAGCAGGGGAGTAGGGAGTTTCAGAATGTGCATTAGGAACAGTGTTTTTCTTCCTCGGTATTAAGGTGTGCTTGTGTATGTCAGTTTTTTAGGAAAGTGGTCATAAGTCCTGCACGCAGGTAAGTATTGCATCACTACCCCAGGGTGGCCTCTCTTACTCCGTCCGTGAGTATAACAGGTAACCGAGCTCCTCACTCTCACCCTTCCTTGTGGAAGTTTCCACTAAAAACCCTTTCTTGTGTGTGTCTCCCTCTCTTACTGTACTCTTGGAGTGAACCAGTGTCAAGGACAACTGTCACTGCTCACCATTTCCAGAGTTCCTGTCTTAGAGATTTCTCCTGGGAGATGGATTGTGTCTTTCAGGTTTCTGTAACCGATTCACTTAGGAAAAATCAATGAGTACCTCTGGAAAAAAAGTTGTGGCATCTACACTTGGAGCCCAGAATCTCTTCTGGCAGCCCGTCTTAGCTATGCCATTGTGTTGAATTGGTCTTTCCACGTGATTGAGGGAGAGGAATGTATCTGTCATGGATTCTGCTCAGCCTCTGTGGGGACTGAGTCTTTGAAAATGAGGGATACAATCCTTGACACAATCAAAATTCTAGGACCGTAGAAACATAGCAATCAATCAAGAAGTCCCCAAAAAAGCTGTAATGTCTCAAAGGTAGAATTCTAACCTACTAGCCTCAATCTTTAGCCCATCTTTGACATGTAGAAATTACAAACTGCTACTGTTTAGAACCAAGCAAAAACTTCTCATTTTGCAAAAAAATGTGTATTTGTCAAGGACAGAATGACATTTAATTTGTGGGAGGACAACCAGTGCCAGCAGTTTTGGAAGGGGAAGGAGCATGGAGCCTGCAGACAAACATTGGTACTGGAAAAGCCAACAGGAGCTGGAATATAAGTCTGAGCAGAGAAGTTCAATACTGATGCTTAATTTTGTGCATGTGTAAATCTCTTACTGGACCAGAACGATGTAAAGAGGCTTTGAATGCAACCGTCTGAGTGCAAAACTGTATTATGTCATGGGGTTGATGAGTAGAGAGCACTCTTGGAATGTGGAAATAGGTACTTGACAGAAGAAGAGCACTTAGAAAAAACAAGGGAACTCTGTGGAAGTCTAATAGATAGAGGCTTTGCTTTTCTTCACAGTTGTCACCATCTGCAAAAAAGGTTCCATAAATGTTTCTGCTAAGAAATAGATGTGCTCAAATAAAAAACTGCCATCTTCCCATTTTCACTTCTGTAATGGCCTTTCTCATTATGTTTTCTAATCCCCCAATATCAAGTGCATCCCTTTATTTTAACATTTTCTAATACAGCAAGCCCCCCTCTTTGTCTTTATTTGGAGCTAGCCCATAATTTTACCACCTGTGAAAGGATACCACAAGCAAACTGTTTTCAAAGAACTCCTAGTTTTATTTTCCAGCCAATAGCACACAGTTGTCTCTTGATCTTGTGACACAGGAATATTCAGGATTGTGGGTAAATCCAGGGTGTCTTTCATGGACTGGACAGTTACCAGGTTGCTGGTTACCAGTGCCAGTAAAAGAGCTATTTTGACACCTAGACCACACATTCTGGCCATGCTTCACTAGTCAACAAGACAGGACACTTTGAGCTGAAGACTCCAGCTCTTTGCCCAATTCCACAGTCCACAGGTTAAGAATCCTTTCCCGTTCTTATGTAGCAGTACTAAGATTTGCTGGATACATGATACATGGTTAATCACAAGGCATCACAGTGAACAAAAATATAGTCAACCTACATGAAGCGTATAACATTTCCTAAAAGGCATATAATGGTTTTTATTTCAATATTAGTATTAACCTAGTAGGAATTAAAGCCTATCCCCAGCTCCTCTCCAAGACATGATAACTAATTTCTGGTGGTTTAGGAGAGAAGAGAATCAGCAGTTTTTGTTAATTTTCAATCTTCATATCTTTAATCTTAGTATAACTCAGTATACCAGAAAAAGGCTTGCTTTTTTAGTTACCTTTTACATACTCCTTAGAAATAATTCAGCATCCCTACATCACAGCACTGGAGCTGTTTCCATGCTGTATTTGACAATGTCTGACACAGTTGATTCTGAGCCAGCTCTGCTAGTAAAGCCAAAACTGGGAATTGTTCTTACAGTTTCTTCTGACCAATAATTTCTTTCTTCATAGTATAAGTTCTAAAGTTTACCTTCTCTCTTACGTGTAGTCAAGTATCTTTACTTCAGTATCCTTTGGTACCACACTTAAATATGGTGAAAAAGAGACTTCCCACTCTTACTGTCTTATCCTCTTCATTATTCTCCAGAGACTCTTGCAAGGATGCACCTTCAATTTTAATTTATCTTCCCCTTTTTCTGTCTTTTAAAATTAGATTAATTTAAAGTTAAGGGTATCTTTGCATTTTTTTTGTGTTCTACGTTAGTAGCTGGATCCATAAAGCTAAAAAAAGCGTAGATTGGTAGGATGCTTTACTTGACTTCCAGTGACAGCTTGCTATAGCACAGTGGCCTAAGAGTGTCTGTATTGGTGCTGTCTGGTAGTCTTATACACCCATTTGCCATGTTTGGCCCAAACAGGACCTTAAAAGAGGTATTCCCTGATCAGAGAATGGCTACACACAAAAGCAGGTACAAAGCAGTTTTTGTCCTTGGGCCCTGCTCACTTCCTTTTAGAACAGAGAGAAGCTAATCATACCAAGTCAGCAATTTCAATATAGTGTGGGTTGTTTTATGACAGGAAAATACTGATAATGGTCAGTCCTTGAATCTCGTGTCAGATATTTCTGTCCAGTTTTGCTGCTTTAGCAGTACTAGCAGTATGCAGCTGATAGGCTTCTTTTGTAATGAGTGCATGAAAACGTCAACATTGAATAACCTAATAGTGTGCTAGTTGTAGCCACTGTAAAGGTGTTTTGGGTCTTTTGGAAGTGCTCTGCTTTTCCTCTGAGAAAATACTTGTTTCTGAGAGCCAGATAGGCTCTGGGGCACCTGGAGAACCTCGGTTTGACTGTTCTTTCATTCGGTGACCTAAAAAGTTGAAATGAGCAAGTCATACAGTGTGTTGACTTGACTTTTTTTTAAATGGGACAGCAAAGAAATGCTTTCTAGAGTCTGTTGGTTGTGAGAGGGACAGCTGTGATAGAATTTCCTTCCATGCTTGATGATGTGTGAACCTGACATGAAAAAGGAGAGAGAGCGAGCCCAGCTATCTTACCTTCTGTGCAGGTAATTTAAACTTGAGTATGAAACAGAATATTCTGCCTATGCCATGGGCCGGAACACTGAATACTGTGTTACAATCAAAATCCAAGTGTTCTTATTTGTGAAGAGAGAACCTGCATATACAACAATACAACTGAGGACATAAAGCATAATGAACAGCAGTTAATGCAAATTATTACAGAAAGTAACCAGCCCCAGAAAACATGGTCTAGTAGACCTCAAAGATTAATATGATAGGAAAAAAACGCCAAGCGAACAAAACCCCCACAACATCTGTAGTATGTACAAACAGTGGTGAAAATTTTTCAGCACAGAGAGATACACAAGTTACAAAGCATTGATCTGTGTACTTGACCCATGTATGTTACTTGTAATACTTCATTAGCATTGCATCAGAGAAGACCAGCCAGGCAGTTCTGACTGATCCATCAATCCCCTTCAAGAAAACTCACAGATTGACCTTCCCACCCTGCCCTGTTTTTCTTTGAACTCAGGCAGGCATTTGTAGGAAGATAGTGATGTGCTGCATCACAGCTCTGAGGTTTTATGTTTGATGGTCCTTATGTATCCCTGAATTAGAGTTGCATCTGCCCACCAGTGGCAGCTTATTTTACAGGATGGTACAACTGGCTGGGTAGCTGCCAGTTAAAGCCATTTATTTTTCTTAATCCTGTTTATCCTTTTGCTAGTTACAAAACTGTGCATCAGAGTCATATTTCTTCCAGCATGATTAGGGGCATCATAGCCTTCAGTAACTAATTGTGACAGATTTAATCCAATAGAAAGGATGACTCCTGTGACTCCAAAACCAGCAATTTTTGGAAATGGTAATTTTGAGAGGAACCTGTGATGGATCATAATTTTTTTACCTGTGGGAGGTTATGCTATTAACAAGGTTATGCTTGTGTGATCAAGATGGAAAGACATTCTACATTCCACAATATTTTATATGTTTTATTTCTATGCAAACAGTGAAGACTTGTTTAGGAGAGCACCTAGAATGATTGGAAGGGGCAGGGCCTTGCAAGCCACAGTTTAAACCATTATGTGTCCAGAATGCCATACTGATTCCATTTTCATGGAAGTGGCTTAGCATTCTTGACACAAACCAGACATTAAATCACTGGTGGGGGGGGCAACACTGGGCAGGCCTTCTGCCACGACAGTCCCCTGACATCTGTGTTGGGTCACAAATGATCATGGTATGATGGTGAAGTCAATCCCAAACTGCCTTCACCTGCATTTTAAAGTGAAGGTTGTAGTCTAACCTTTCTAAGCTCGTCCTGGACTACGTCCCCAGTAGCTGCTCTATGTGGCATATGACATAAAGTGGAACTCTTTGGGAAGAATGGCTTTACACAGCCAACAGTGTGTCTTGATAATTTACTTGTTGCAAACTACCCTTCTCTATTTGTCACTTTGTAGTGAGTCATCAGGGAAGACACAGGGTTAAACTGAGCAATCTACTGGAAGCTTTTGGTCTTTTGCAAATAGCACAGCATTATGTATACTGTAGAATAGCATTTCCTGCATACATCCAAAATCCTTTCCAAAGTAACCCCCTCTTTTTAGAGAGTCTATCACTGAGGGGTTGCAGCAAGCCAGGAGAACAGAAATGTTTAAATTCTTGTAGTCTTTCAGGATTTCCTTTAAAGTATTAACTCCAGTCGTGTCCAAAAATGAGATGGAAGAGCAATCTACAACAAGGGCTTGAAAATCAATTTGCTTAGGAACTAGTTGCAAAGTAGTTTCTCCGATGCCCAGTCCATTAGCAGTTCTGTGATTTCCCTTTTTCAGATGCTGCTTTTCCTTCTTCTCATATTTCTTCCTCCTAGCAGCTTCTAGGTTAGGATCTAAATTGGTCAATCTGTACAGAGACTTTAGGAAGTAGTTTCTATTTGCATAGTAAAGTGGGGCCTCAAACCGAAATATCTTGACCTTTGGAACAGTAGAAAGATTTTCATATTCTAAGTCATCCTCGTAAAAGCTTGTGTCTTGGATCTGACCAAGCAGGGCTGTCCGTGGCCGCTGGGTCCGAACAATGATGCATAACATGGAGAAAACAATGCCTACCAACAGCCCTATTTCTGTGCTGACCAAGGCAGAGGCAGACATGGTTACTACCCAAACAAGTGTGTCCACCTTATTCACCTGGTACCGTGCTGGCACATCTCGGAACTTCCTCAGGGCTCCTCGAAGACTGACAATGATAATACAAGCCAGGACACACTTCTGCAAGGAGTAGAAGAGAGGTGCCAGGAAGAGCAGCACCAGCAAAACCACCATTGCACTAATTACTCCAGAGATTTGAGTCTGGCAGCCCGTAGATGTTTTGACGAGTGTTTTTGCCAGAGCTGCACTGGTTGCAAAAGAGTGGAAGAAAGAAGGAATGATGTTGCAGAACCCCACAGCAAACATTTCCTGATTGGCTCGGATGGTGTAAGCATATTTCTTTGCAAACATTTCGGAGAGGGATACAGTAAAGACAAAACTGACTATGGCAAGAGGCAAAGCATCTAGAGCAACTCGGAGCATTAAGTTGAACTCTGGTACCTTTGGAGGGATAAATCCTGTTGGAATAGCTCCAGAAACACTGGATGCATACACTTCATTTAACTTACCATAGTGTGACACGAGTGTTGCAACAACAATAACTACCAGCTCTGTGGGAAGAGGAAATTTCAGTTTGTGCTTATACCGATCTCCGAGTTCCTTAGCAGTGACCAGCACCACAATACAAATGGCACTTGTGATGACATCGCAAAGGTTAGCCTGAGAAATGTTCCGGAAAATGTTAATCCAAGTAATAACAAGCATCCCATGCCCTTGGCTACGTGGAATTTTTATTCCAATCAGATACTTCACTTGAGCTGTTAAAATGGTTAAGGAAGCACCAGTTGCAAAGCCATCTAGTACGGACTCAGATAGGTACATAGATACGAAACCCAGACGGAAGATCCCCATTAGAACCTGAGGAAACAGAAGAAGAAAAAAAACAAAAAACAAACCATGAGCTGTAACCATTGCTGCAAATAATTAGGTACAGATGGGGAAGAACTAGCTGGAGGCCAATAGCTTTTGGCTATTTCAGTCTTGAAACAGGAATTGTCCTTTTTTGTTTTCAGTCTGCCTTTGAAATGCAATACCTTTTCCTATTGTGGAATGCTACAAACCCAAGAGGTGAATGAGGAGTTTGAGACAGGGTGGTCAGTCAAACATTTGTCTGAAGTGACTCCACTGAAATGGCTTGCCTGATTTTTATTCCCCATGCAGAAGAACAGTAGGTACAAAATACTTCTGTTATACCAAATTCAATTTTCTTCTTTTTCTGTCTTAAAGTGAATAAAGGTAAAATGTATGGCCTTTTCTTTGTAAAAAAAACTTGAATGACAACAAATAAGATCCCTATTTTAGCTTTTTGTATTAAACAGCTTTTCATTTTAGCCATGTGGACAGAAAGGAAAATGGACCACAGATGGCGTTTGTGCTATGCCTAAGATCAGAAGTAGCAGAACAGCTCACAAACTCCACGATTCTGTCCTTAAGTAGCTTTTTCTCCTTCCTCAGATGTCTTTGGAAAATACAGCACCACAAGGGTATTTTTTGTTCATATATGTGACCTGAAATTTCTTACTACAACAGGAAGATAGCTAGCTATTTCTGCATTCACACATATATATATGTATGTATATGTGTGTATGTCTGTGTGTGTGTTTAGACACACATATATACACACACAGAGTTAACAGATAAGTATGTTAATGATGGTTCCTTCTGTGCTCTCTTGATATCCTTGTGATGGCAGCATGTCATCAAGTGTCAAGGTGTCAAGGAGTCCAGCACAGCCATTGTCATAAAAGTAGGTTAGTCAGTCTGCTTCTCCTCTTGTCCTTTCTATGAATTATCTTTTGGACAGCAGTTTAGTCGAACATAGGACCCCCTAGCAAAATGCTGAGCTGCACATTCTGAACCTGTAGAACTAGTTGCATACCTCTATTAAAATATCTAGGGAGTTATTTCTTAATTTTTAAATACACAGCTACCTGGGAATTTCCTGTATCTGTATTGGGCCTCATTGTCCCATGAAAACAACAAGAAGCAGAAGAGTATCAAAACAAGTCTTTCAGAAGAGTCTTGTTTTTCCTGTGTCTTCTAGCAACTAAGAAAACTGCCTGCTTCGTGCTATTTCTGAGTTGCCTGCAGTTAGGCTTCCTGGAGAAAACAGTCCAAGGTACAAATGAACTGATGATGTATCTCGTTGAAAGACAGTCAAGCCAAAGCTTAGGTCATACAAAAAAGCTTTAGGAACTTCATACCTTGTCTCTGGATGTTGGCAACCACTTACCTGGTACACTCCAGCCATGAATGTCAAGGCTGTAGCAATGCCAATAGCGTAGCACTCCTTCCCACACTCGGCATTTATCCCCACAATGGTAAGGTTGAAGGCAGTTGTGTTGGGCAGATGGTCATTCTGCAGAGAGCCATCACCCAAGGCTGGTGTGGCATCATCATTCAAGTCAAACCCAGCCAAGAGAAGTTCTCGGTCCACAACTTGTCCCACCATTAAGCTTATCAAGCTGAAAATGCCAACTGAGACGTGACGGGATGTGCCCATTAAGAAATAGATGATGTTGGCAAAGAATGATGTGTAAAGGCTATAAATGGGCTTCAGACCTGCCAGCAGTGAGTATGCAATTGCTTGAGGCACCAGAATGATCCCAATCACTAACCCAGACATAACATCTCCCCAAATGTACTCTTTGCATCGGTACTTGGGAAGCCATCGTAAAACGGGAAAGAAGTCCATAAGAAAGTTCTTCAGCTTCTGTGGTGTGCAGGAGCAGCTCTTTCTCAGCTTAGCTAGCATGACTTCTTTCCTGTTAATCTTGACATGAGTCTTTCTTTCCATGAGAAAGCAGGATGAGGTGTTGTTTTCCATTTTGGTAGCCTCAAGTGGTCTTTCCATTTTCCCAGTGTTTACTTCATTTATGTGTTCCTGCAAAGTGAAGAAAACCTCCATCAGGTTGCAATTCATGAAGGTTTTTTTAGCGCAGTCACTTAACACTAAAAGATTGTCACCTGATTTTGCTTTTAAGAAAGCATCATCCCAACAAGAACACTCTCACAGAGCTCCAGTGATGCATAAGGCTAAGAAATAAATCTGCCTTTCTTGGACACATTAAGGAATACTTTCAATTTAATCCAGTTTGTTCTAATAAAGAAAAATGAGGTTAAGTTAGTAATTTTCTTGTTTGACAAAGATCTCCATCATCTATTATAAATGTTCTATCATAAAGGTCTTTGTGACCAGAGGCAGCACTTGCTGATGTGAAATAAACACGTGCTAGTGAGGTAGGTTTTAGTGTTTCTGTTCAGTGAGTACATATTGTAATCATTGATTCATAACTCTCACGGGGTATAATGATCTGTCACTGCAGTTGTCATCTATGCTGAGGAGAAAAATGTTGCTGGTAGGACCTGAAAGGCAGAGTTTTCTGGAGAGCAGCAGTTTAGTCTTACACAAAATATACGTATAAAAACCATTGATGGACTCTGTAGCTGCTACATGACATGAACTTGTTGAATTGTAGATTGTTTCAATGTGCAGCTTCTGATAATAAATACCTTCTCACAAATATCACCACATTGGGAGCATACAGACATAACACCATGACGTTACCACATTGGAAGAGTGCTACATGTAATTATTTTCAAGTTTAAACCCATAGTTACCCAACTTCATTTTCCCAGTAAAGAGATATAACAAATAATTATATGTACAGCAGAACAAACACAGCAGTGTTTCCTATGGTTCTCCTGATTTTTTTCTAATATGTGAGGGCTGGGATTACTTGTATTCCCCTGATAGGGGTGCTTTTAATGTCTCTTGCTTCAATGGACACAACTGTTTTCACCAAACTGGACGTCTGCATTTTTACTCAGTTGTCAGATTAAATTGAAATTAGCTTAGCGCATTCCTTAAGTCATTTTGGGATAGGTGGGAACATGACTGAGAGGCAAAACATGCAAGTGCCCTAACTTACATAGCTAAAAAAATAAAATAGGAACACACAGGTGGAAAACGTCAAGTGACAAATCTTTTCTGGTTAGCAGTGGAGAGGAGGAAAAGACTTCCACGTAAGGATGTCCATTTATGAGTAGTGGGAGGTAAGGAGTGACTCCTACTGATCTAGGTGAAGATACTAGGGGGTAATACAACAATATGCAGAACTTTTAGGAAAGCAGACCTCTAGGCTCAGCCTCTCTCACTGTCATTAAGAGCCAGGATCTGTGCATCAGAACTGTTTGGTGCCAGAAGTGACATTGCAATAGTGTCAAAGCTTGCCTTCACTTAGAGTAATAGTGTTTCTTTTCTCTTTCAATGTTTAGGGACAGACTCTACGCAAGAGTTTCATGAAACTTGAAGTAAACTTACTGGCACAGTATTCTGTTGGTAAAGTTTAATGGTTTTAACAGTTAATACACAGTTTAGATGCTACTGACAGACTTCTCTGTAAATTTCATGGTGTTTTTTTTGTTCTTAAGAACAACATTTTGATTTGTTAATGTTTGGTAATGGCCTGTTAAGGAGTAGAATTCTGAATTTAGAAAAAGCGTTAATGAGTCCAACAGAAACATAATTGAAAAGCAAAAGAATAGATTATCAGTAGCCTGTAAGCTTTTAACGTGGAGCAGTTCAAATGGAGAGTGGCTTATTAGAAAGTCATTTGTCTATCCCGCTTAGAAATAGTTTTCAAGATTTTAATAATTATGTTTTGCCACCAAATTGAAAATAATAAGATATATATCTGTAAGTAGTGCAGAAGTTTTAAACAGTTCCCAGGTATTATGATACAGCATGCAGATAAGTGACACAGCATGATTTTAAAGGCTATGCAAAGTTTAACCACAATTCAAGGTAGGATGTCTAGGTGTTAGAGGTAATTTATAACTTGGTAAGAGGCAGAATAGAGATTCTTGTTAGAATGTGTGGACCGATTGTCCAAGTTGAAAAGGACCTGCATAGTGGTCTAGATACATTTAAAAAATCAGTAGAGTTTTATCCATCCTAATTATATAAACCCATTTTTAGCTCTCATTGTATACATTTCATTGTGTTTGTAAGTAAGGTTTATTTCCATCATAAGGGAGCACTAATTACAATTTTCTGGAATTATTTATAAACATCCATGCCTATTTTTTATCAATGCTAAGTTTACTTTAGACCCTAGTTTACCACATAGTTATGCTAGCCAAAGTCTGCTTGGACAGGAAAATAGGTTGGATCTAGTCTTTGTTAGAATGCAAAGGCGACAGAAAAGATAAATAAAGCTGCAACACCAGCTGAAGTACTTAAGAGGATATGAATAAAGTTTCCCAAAGCAAGGGTAATAAAGACACTCATTTTTAAAAGGCAAAATCCCAATACTTCCTGTCTTACCTAAATTAGTTTGAAGAATGAGAGACTTGTACTTGAGGACAGCAAGTCCTTATTCAAATGCCAGTCACTTCTTACAGCCAAGTGAATTCAGCCAGCCAGGAAATAGGTGTTGTGTCCTTGCTCTACATACTTAAAAGCCAGTGGGCAGTTCAATATCCAATGAGTGCTTTTTATAGGCTACACAAAAAGATTGTATCACCTTCTGTACACTAGGCTTATATATTTAATTGCATACTTGCTGTCTGCCTGTCTCTAATCTCATACAATTTACCTGTAAGTAATTTGATATTTACAAAAAACCCAATACATTACAATTCAGGTGTATTTATTATTTGTGCAGGTCCCTGAGGGTTAATAGTGATTTTTAATACATAAGATGATTGAAACATAATTTCTCTGGAAATCTATTGAGATATCTTGTGTTTGAATGATAGTTTAGTAATAAATATATATTAGCTATACTGCCTTACTGGATAATCAGAATAATTGATTTTTGTACAAAGCAAACAAGCCTCCCCCCTTCCCCCTTCAAACTGACAGAAAGTAATTTTCTTAAATTCCTTTTTTTCCTGAAAAGCAAATAAAACTTTCCTTCCTGTAAGTAGCTGTTTATTCTGCTATATATGCTTTCAGATTCCATGTCAAATGAACATGGTAGCTGTTAAGCGGTCAGGTCGCATCCTAGATTGGTATGCAGAAACTGTTAATGTTTAAAGTTTCCTTGTTGCTTTTAGAATGCAGTAAAGCCACACCAAATAAGGGAAGTGGCATTGTTATCTGCAACCCATTTTTCACCTGTGTAACCCAATAATTGTCAGGCTGCGATGCCTGTAGCTCATTGCTTCAGCTGAAGGAAATGGAATTCCTTCCACAGATGTGTGCTCTCCACTGTACACTTATGCAGCCTAGCAGAGCTTGGAGCTTCCAATGTTTTTGCCATCTCCAAAGACAGAATGTAGGAAAGGAGATCGTCTGCTCTTGTGCACATGAGCAGATTCCAGCCTTCTGATTCTGGCCTTGAGATACAACACCTTCCTTCCAAAGTGGTAATACTTGAGCAATGTGCAGGGGCCCTAGGGCAGTCAGTAACTGCATCCCTTTACTGGTCCACCAAATGACCCATTTTCAGCTTAGGCCACACTAACACATGAAAACCCACTATTCCTCCCTTCCTTCCTCCAGAGCTCCACAGAACATTATGTTTGCATTTTATTCAAGTCATCATTTTCTGAAAGAGCTGTTCTCAGCAGGGCTGCACAAATGAAGTAGCCTGTAGCATAAAGCATGTTAGTTCATTGCATTTGACTTTGGCTATTGGAAGAACTGTTTAAAACAAGTGAAACTTTACTTGTGTGCATATTCATGTATATGAGTCACATTCGTATAATTACAACAGAAAGTAGTCTTTGTTAATTTTAATTGTACTTTTTTGTTTGGAATCCTCACAATGGAGTTTTTTCAAGTTTCTCTTGATCATATGAACAAAAGCAGTTGAGCAGAACCTTGTCAGAACCCCTTGTTCTTTCAGGTTAAATGCATTGACTCAATTTATTTTGTGAAAAAGAGAAAGAAGGGAAAGAACCATTCAAGCTAAGCAAAGTGCTGGCTTTTCAACTGGCCTTAGTCCCACCCTTTTTCCTGTCTTTTCATTGTGCCTGTGACCTAACAAAATATCTCTGCAGGGGAAGAAGCATTCATCACAGTATGTTCATGTGAGATTTCTCTTTGTAGATTCTTCAGCAGGCAGTTTCTGCTGCTACATGTATAACCATTCTGAAGGGATGACTTGTTCTTTGTGAAAGAGCACAACTCCCCAAAACTTTATTCTTTTGCATTTTTTTGCCTCCCCATCCTAACTGTGCACCAAAAAATCTGTGGCTGTATCTCTGTAAAGCCCAGGAAGAAGTAGTGAGGGTGAGCCTGTCTTCCTATGCTGAGATATTTTAAATGCTTTATTTAGAACGGAAATCAGATGGTATCACAGTTAATTAGTGTAATTGCTCACCTTGCTGAAATAGTGATTTGAAGTGGAAGTTAGGATAGAGCCATTTAAAGAGTTTGAGCCAAATGATGTTTGCTGTTTTCTCCATGTTTGAACTATGAAAAATCCACTAAAAACTAATGTTGTTGGGGTGGGTTTTATATTTATTTATTGCATAACTCACTGAAGAACATGAGACACATCAGTCTAGTTAAACATTTGATTGGAAACACAGGTGTTGAGTTAAATTGTTCATATTGCTCATCTTTAATACTAGAAATCTTTTCTGTCTCGTAGAAACCTATTTTGGCTGTATGACTATAATCATGTTACTGTTCTAATTTTGAGCAATGACACAATTATGAAAAAACTCCTTGGTTAGCCTCAAAGTGCATAGATTCAATGTGTGTGTGTTATTCTTGCAAAGATGTATTATTCTTGCAAACTGGATTTTTTTTCAGAGGAAGGTACCTAGAAAATATGCCCCAGTGCACTTTGACCCTTTATGGTGGCATAAAAACCTAAGACAGCAATTGGTGCTTTGGACATATTTGAACAGATGTGAGGAGTACATTTAGTTTGTAAGAACTGACTGGTCTGAAATAAAGTCCTCTGAGCTGCATATAATATAAGTCAATACTGCTTTAGCAACTACTGTTTGATTTATTAATGTGCTTTTATTCTGCAGGGTTGCTTAGATATGTCAACATAACCTAAAAGTTTTAGAAGTTACCAGGTGCTAAAACAGTGAGATGAATGTTTCTCTCTGTCTTGGTATAACTATTGTATTTTGATATTTAGAACCAAGATGTACTTGGAAGCAGACTTAAGTAAGGTGCCAGCAACCCAAACCATTCATTTATACACTGATCTAGCAAATTATCAGACTAGAGGCACAGAATATGACAATGTCTTTTAGGAAAATCATGTGAAACTTGATAGGCTTGGTTAGTTTTTTCACTATATTGGGGTAAAATATTGTTGCTTCAAAGCATTTTTGTGTTGACTTTCAATGTTACACTAAGTCAAACATGAAAGAGGAAATAGCATTCCAGCTTAGTGGTCTCTACAAGTCAGGAAAGCCAGATCACGTCCTCTACAAATTAAACTGCTATACTAAGGAGAGATTTATTCTGACAGTCTTTCAGAATTGTGTATTTCTAATTAAAATCTCCAATTCACAATTTTTATTTCCAACTGTAAATTGGTTTAGGACTTTCCAGGCAAGTTAGGCTCTTTGTTAAATGCCTGCATTCACCAGCAGCTATGATTCAAGTCTGGTTTTCCCAAGGATTCTCACTTCCACATCCCAGTGAGTAAGGTGACAGCCATTGACAGGAACAATCCCAGAGCTGATGAGCAGGCTACAGTGGAACTCATGCAGTCAGCCAACGCCTATTGTTAAGGCTGGCCCATCAAGGTTATCTTTAGGAATGATCATACATGCAAATACATCATCAAGTAGTTTCACTCATTCTGCAAAGACAGGTTTTATTCAAGGATTCCAGAACATGCTGATTTAACTATTGAAATGCTCTTGAAGGCAAGATAGAATTATTCTTCTGGAGAGTCCTAGGACATGACCACTAAAAAGGCATTTCCTGTGGACTCAAAAAACATTCCTAAAAATCAGATTTCTTGCTTTTGGGAAAGTAGCTGTTTCAAAGTGAAAGTCCTTTATTTCAGAAAACGTCTTCCAAGATAGCTTTTCAAGACCCTGGTCATCATTCATTAAGTTAAATATAAGCTCCGTGTTCTGCCCTGTGGTTTTGCTGTACATTGTTTAGCCATGCTAAGCTGTCACAGAGAAAACCCAATTGATACTCCATTCTCATATTATTTTCTGTGGCATCTTGTGTTTACTACATGCCATAAGGGCAGTATTTTGGAAACGCCTGTTTGTACGTAAGCACTAAGAAAATGCTCTCAGTTTCAGTATTAGTGTGGTACTTTGAGAAATAGATAAGCCTAGTATATGCCATTTCCTTAAACAGAAATAAAATTTAACCAAATGGTTGAACTCTTGACAAGGGTTGCAGGAGAGATAATTGCTGTATCATTTACAGCTGACTGTACATTTTACAAACTTGCCCAGTGTCTACCTTATAAGCAATATTTATGAACAACAACATAATGATAAACCAAAAAACAACAGCATGAGCAAAGTAGGTGAAAAGAGGCAGTTTTGCACCTTTGAAAACAGGCAAAGAAAAGTTAATCTGAATTCAGAGGCACAGGAGGGGAGACAAATCTCTTACCTGGATAGCTTTTTGACAGGAATGTACCAGCTCTTTTTTTGCATGTTGGAATGAATGGAAGTCTTCAACCAGACATTGGTCTATTTGCATAAAGGATAATTATTAGCTAAATATTCCTCAAGATAAGAATGGGTAGTTATGGAATCTTGAGCTTGCTGTTTGGTAGTGTATTGTCACTTGTATCACTTTGCAAAGCTGGATATATATGTAGCGCTATCTAAGGATCTGAGTTTAAATAATGCATAAGATTATTAATTAACTAGCACTGATCCAAAAATTGTGCTGAGTTCAGGCTAACACATCTCTGACCTTTGAAGCTACTTCTCATCTGAGATCTGATCTGGTTTATGCATCCTCATGTAGCATTAGCTTTTGATTTTACATGTTCAAGGTGTATGAATAGAACTTCCATCTTGCTTGAGATTTGTGTCCATTGTGGCCTGGAATAAGGCCTGTTTTGCTCAGTGCATAGGATGTGAGAGCTGAAGCTCAGAGTTCTGTTTCTACATGTCAGCAATTCAGATCACAATAGTTTTTGCTTCTGTGTAAACCAAAGACTGTATAATATAGGCAGATCAGTAGGACAAAAGATAGACTTCTGTTGAAAGTTTACTTCATTGTTGTGAAGCATTTGGTCATATAAGTGACCAAGTTCCCTCTCAGCCTTAGGTCTTTGTATAAGTGCAGACCTATCCAAGTAATAAATAAACATCCATCTCCTCCCCTTGACAAAGGTGATAGGCAATGTTTAATGGTTACTAAGCAGTGCAGATTAACAGGTTGGGCACAAGGCCATGACTCATAGGAACTGTATTCAACTGGCCTACAAACTAAAGGATGAGGAGATGTGTCTGTTTCTCAGCCAAGGAGGAACACGAATTGGCATGCAGTAAGAATCTGAGATGGGAGTTGCAAGGCCACGGAAAGACTGTGTTTCTGGCCACAAGCATAACTAGAGAGGGCCAAGTTCCCACATTGTCTTTTGTCCCTGTGCAAAAAGTTGTTTGCTGCTCTTTAGAAGTAAGAAGGAAACATAAAAATTATGTGAACAAAAAATCAAAACTTAGGTGAGGGAGGAATAGAAAGGGAAGCATGTCACATCTCACATCTGTGATGTTAACCTGGTCATGAATTCTTAAAACTACTGGCTACTGCCAGGAACTTAGACTTAGTGGCAGTAGTTACAACATTCTAAACCCAAGATCTAAGGAAGGTAATTTCAGTCTTATTAAAATCCTATTTCTTGTTGCTTTGTTATGGAAAGCTATCCCTTTGCTTGTAGAAAAAAAGAGATGCAGTAGTACACCTTATCTGCATAATGAATTGTGCACACTAGTTACAAAGATAGTGTGTTTATTTGGTCTTCTGCTCTATGGACTAGAAGATTTCACTGCTTTTGTTAATTTAATTTTAGCCTTGTGGTATTTCTTCATTAAAAATAAAGGGACTTAAACTCAAGTCTCTCAAATTCATCCTTTCATCCATTTTACTGTCTAATTCTTAGGACCAAGAGTTATCTTGTCTAGCGACCACCTAAAATGCACGTTATCTGCTTCGGTACCTAAGTAAGCTTATTCACCTTTTCAACGTGTCCAGCATTTGGAAACTCTGCTACTACTGGTATTTGCAGTCTTGGAATCTGCAGAATAATTGGGGTTTGCCCAACTTAACATCTTTTTTTGACAGAGACCTCTCTGCATTTCTCTCCAACAGCACTTTTCCCAATATCAGGCTCCTAAGAGGAAGGAGGATATTATTGTATCATTATCATTTGACCCCTTCCATATAAAGTTGGTTGTAACTTTGTTTTGCCTCAAGCTAGCCTAAAAATAACACTTTTTGAAATCTAAAGGAAAGAAATTTCAAATAATAATTTTGAACGTTTTTTCAAAACAGCGCATTAACATTAGGGCTAAATATCTCTTGAGACAACAGTTCCATATTCGAAAAAATTGGTAAAATGAAGCAATTCTCATTCTGTCTGTAAAAATTTTGAAAATTACACAGTTTGGACAGTTTTATGATGAACGAGTTTTACTTGACATATAATTTACTGGCAGCAGAAGGTTCATTAGTGGATTATGGAGATGAGTTCATACCTTACATGAAGTCATTCATCAGGGCTTCAATCCAGCAGTAATTCTGGGTGGGCTGGTCCTGACATCCTGGTTAAATTCCACTAACACTAACAAAAAGGACTCAGTTCTAAAAGTGTTGTCTTTCCTTGTCAGCTGCTGAGTTATGAAGCAGTGGTAACTGGCCAAAATAGCCAAAAGAGGTACTACAATGAAACACCTATTTCTAAGAATAGAAACTGTGGTAGAAAAAAATTATGATCATTGGCAGTATTTTTGAGTTTACAGATGATTTTCCTTTGTGTGACTTATTATTTATCTTTATGAACGGATGCAGAGTTGCAATTGGTTTAAAAACTGTAAAGGGTTAAAAGCAGAATTGAACAGTATTTGTGAAATAAATGATGTAAAGACATAAAATATATTTGACTTTGCTGACACATTTACTTGAGGATTTTCAATGATTTCAGAAAAATTCGTGGCATTGCTACATACAATTAATATCTGGTAACCTAACTGTTAAAAAATTAATGCTAAATTAGTCACATACAAATGGTTAATCTTAGAATCACAGACTCATAGTTAAAAGTTTGTTGTTTACTAGGCCACAGTTAATAATATCAAATCTTGAAAAGTACATAGTCCAAATATAATAGCCATGTTCTTCCTTCTGTGCAAGTGTTTGAAGTTCAAAAATTCAGTGAATTAAAAAAGCTCTTACACCTAATGTCTGCATTGTTTAGAATACCCTCAAGCCTCAATTACTCTATATTTACCTTTATATCATAGTGACCAGATGATGTACCTAAAAAGCACGCATTTGCTTGCAATTTAATAGGAAAAATGAATGCACTGAAAGTAAGCATCCACTCCCTTCCAGTCCACTATGCACTGCATCCCACATTCCTTCTCTAGCTGTGACAAGTACCTCGTGCAGGTGAAAATGATATGTATATGTGGAGAGTCATGTTACTGATTTTTTTAAAATGAAAAGATCTGTAGTTCGTGTTGTAGAAGAAACATCTGCAAGATTCAATGCAGATTTGTATATTCAAAATTGAGGAAGGCTATCATTCAGCATGCAAGCCCCTTTCTATTTCCCACTATAAACACAGAACCAATGGATTAGCACTTACCAAAGGCACAAAGTAGCTGCAGTAGTTCACAACAGTTTCTGTATCAGCACCCAGTAGCACAGTACCTCAGGATCACAGCTTTCTATGGGAATAGATTAGAAATTGTATCATGGTAGGCCTTTCCGATTGGGTATCACTCTCATAATATTCACAATGAGATAACTACAAATAAACAGTAGCACTGGAAAAATCTTTGTCCTGTAGAGTGTAATCACAGATAAAAGATAAACTTTAAATCATTATATTGTAGAAGCTGGTAACCTCTGACTTCTTCCTCATTTCTACGGTTTTGCTTTAGTAGAACTGGTTACACTATGTGGAGTTCAAATAGAATTGCAGTCCTAATGTAGCTTTTTACAGTCTTTTTAACAGTTTCATATGTTATATAAAACAGGGGTTTTATATGCTTACTTCAATTAGATGAAAAAATACTTGTGATGTGTTAAATGAAACTAGGGCAGGAAGTGTGTGGAACTATCCTTACACTTAGTGCTTAGTTGTCAATGTTCATTAATTGAGATTTGTCCTTTGAAACAGGATTTTTATGAAAATAAATCATGAAGGGGGGTCTGTCTGATAAATCTTATATATTAGGAAGAATTCACTTTCATCAGCTGACATTGAATATAAAATGTCTGAGCTTTCCTGCCTTTTAAAAAAACCTTCCCGTTTTTTCAGGCCCAAACAGCCAGAACTGTAGAAACAAAGCCTGTTTATTGATGAAGATGAATAGTCCTACTGATATTTGTATATCTTAGAGGCGAATTTAATGTAGCAAGGATAGTCTTCCTGAAATTCTGAAGCTTGTTCACCCGTTCCTTGAAATTTTGTGTAATCTTAACTGGATACTGAAAACCCTTTTCTGGGTGCAAAGAAAATAGATGATTTCTTACTGCATCATGAAGTAAATTTTCATGTTTCATAAACACAGAATGTAATGGATCTTTATATTGAAAGAGGAGATATTTTTCATATTAGTGGAAGTTTTTTAGGATGGGGGAAGAATGTAGGAAAAAGGGTAATACATGAACATGAAGATCATGAAATGTAAGAGTTATCGCTAGTAGATTTAATAATATACCACAGGTCTAAATTGTAATACCAAACAGGTTCAAAATAGAATTACCAGATCTCAGTTTGTAGAGACTTGTAGGTTTGCATCTCATAGAAAACTATCTATAAATGCAACTGGCTAGTTTTAACTGCTTAATTGTACGAGGTTTATTATGTTTTCTATTCGAGAATGAAGAGCAGACACTGGCATACCATTTAAAAAGCTGCTCTTTGTAGATTGGCTTGTAGTGGTAATTTGTCAGTTCTGAAGTACTCAGAAACCACTCATCAAAAAAATTCTTCAGGATTAAGAACAAGACATGGAAGGCATATTCATTATGCCTTTTCTCCATCAGAAGTCATTACATAGTAGTAAGTTAAAAAATAAATTCAGTATCATTTTGCAAACAAGTGACATATTCAAGTTAGACATAAAGTTGCCTGTGAGGAATCAAGGATTGATACAGAAAGACATACCTGAAACTACATCTGATATGCAAATAGATCCAGCAGCTGCTGAACTTCATCAGACACCATATATCTGTATTTTAGATGTAAAAGAAGTACATCAGCTGAGAAATCTAGCTGCAAATCTTCACACCTTCAATATTTACCTCCATATTTTTCTTATCTTGGGTTGTTGGTTTGTCCATTACATGCTCCTTAGTACGCATCTTGACAAGTGGAAACAAGTTTTGAGATGGAAAATGTTAAAATACCTGCTAAAAGTAGCGCATTGTGCATTAATGCAAAATTTCAGGTCCAGTTACAGTATGTGCCTGAGCAACCAAAGTGCTTGCAAGGGCACACTAAGTAAAGCATTGCTGAATTTGGTTCTTTTTGCATATTTGGCAGCAGGGAGGACAATCATTCCCTCTTAATGTTACGATTTACACAACAGTAAATAAGATACCTTTTGTGATATAGTTGGAGTCACATACTTTTGGACTGTATTTCCGCGTACAACTAGCAGGCAAAATAATAGATGGAGCATAAACAGCAAATAAAGATGTGAACATGAAGGAGTGGCAATAACAGAACTGTGAAATGAAAACAATAAGTCAAATATGTATCATGGAAGTTCATTTCTGGAGGTGCAGTATTGTGTGTACTTGAATTAGAATGCTTCATGGATACAGAGAACTTTCTGTCACTGCTGGGGAAGAAAAGTTCAGTGACAGCTTTCCCAGGCGGTGCCAAAATGAGTTCTGTGCTTAATGTAAGCTAGTTTTAGCATTTGGTCACATTTTCTCTTCCTCATGTGTCTTTAGTCTTCATTATTGATTTGATCTCCCTGTCATCTCATTTCAAAACTTTTGCTTATAGGTGACATTATTCCGAGTTCCATCATCAAGGGCAGCATCAAACCACAATGAATATTTTAATAGTAGCCAAGTGTTATGCAGAAGGAAATCAGTTTCATACATCAAGCTCAATCATAAAGGTCTTCTAGAGACAGTTCACATACAGTGATTGAACCTTTCAGTCACTTGTAAAGCCTTTAAATTTGTAGTGAAGAATCAGCTGAGAAGCATTTTCTGCTATTTCACCTTATTATTTAATTGTTCCCTTTACAAATGAATGTGAACATAACAAACCTGAACAAGGGATCACAAGATCTCACAACACTGATCTATCCATGCCTGGGTGATCTGATTGGCTATGTTCACATGTCTAGAGAGGTCAGATACTAAAATAGCATACGCCTTTGCCTAAATTGTTTCTACAGCTATTTCCCCTTTTACATCTAGAATTTGTTTTAAAGGGGAAGAGGGGGGAGAAGAGACACAACAGTCTAACAATATTTTCCGAGGCTAACTCACCTCGGCATAAGAAGCTGTTGGTGCTTTGTCTGCCTCTCTCTTCCCCCCATACACAGCACGCTCACTGCTGAAAGAAGGACTGAGACTATGCTCACAAAAGCAGGCTGAGTAAGAAATGGAAAATCATAGGCCGTGATTAGCATCAGCTTGAAAACATCCATTGTTTGCTTGCACTTCTGTGTCTGAATTTCAGCCAGATCACAGCAAGGATTTTGTGAGTTGCTTTGCAAGGTGAAGCTCAAATACTGATGATTTCAAAGAGCAAAGATGCTTATTGAGATGCTGGATAAATCAAAGTCAATTCTATTTTTATGTTTTTAAAAAAATAAAAAGATTCAGCTGAATGCACAGCCTCTTGACTGGCTTGTAGAAGAGACAGAATGATTTCCAGTAAATAACAGCTGATGTATACTCCATTTTTGAAGCAGTTTATTCCTAAGTCACAGAGATTCATAGCCATCCTTCTTTTTGCGCATGTACCGCGCTGGTTGGTTGTGTGGATGGATTAACTGTGACAGGCTGTGACATCAGCAAAGGCTGGATGCTGCCTGGCTCCGTGATTTTGTAATGCATCCTCCCATTACTGCTAGCTGACTCATTCCAGCTACAGGGTGAGTGAATTGTGCACAGTGTGGGCGAGCACCGACTGAAGTGTTGAGTATTGTGCTTCTGTGAAGAAGCTGTGCCTTAGTTGTCAAGCGAGCAGGTTTTCCAACTCTGCTTACAAAAATGATAGAGCTGAGAAGCAAATGGAGAAAAATATTAATGCTAATAAATAGACACAGAAGTAGTAAAATATACAAGTTATTTAGTGTGGGTGTGGTAGTCTTTGGCTTTTGAAAAAGCCTCTGAATTAGGTTTTTGGTCTGTGAAGCATGTGAAAAGCACAGGCTGTGTTTTGCTTGGGGACCACCAGGGAGGGAGAATCAGTGTTCATCAGCCTGAAAAATATCAAGTTATCATGGTTATTTTAGGTTATGGGGATTTCGTGAGCAGGAGCCAATTTACCTTACCTGATCATAGGAAGTGAGAGAGAATGGAGCAAGAACATGGTAGAAGCAGCTCTAGTGTGAATGAGTACTATATTGTTAGCTTCAACGCAATTCAGGAGGGGGAAGTGGTGTTTATTAATAACCCAGGAGTCTACTGATTGCTTAGTTATTTATTAATGATCTTGTACTTAAACCTGAAATACCAGACTAGTAGAGTTTTTGGTTGACACTGAAGAGACCTGGAGACAATTGCTGAGAATTCAGCCTCTAGAAAGGTGAATGCTAATGAGGGTTATTCTGCCCTTTGTATGCTCTGAGGTATCATTTCAGTAGTGCTCACAGTCCCTTAGGATCTGCTTTTAAGGTCCAGAGGTTTTTCAAGTACTCAGCAGAGCAAGAAGCTTATGTATACAATTGGTAGGTTTGGAGCAAACAAAGTCTTTGTGAAAACCTGACCTTTAAACTGGCTTCATTTCGTTCATCATAGCTGCAAAAGTAATTAGAAAAACCAAGGAGGCGGGATCCTTTTGTGTTGTAAGAGGCACTTGGAGGGCAACAAGTTTCCTTTCTGAAGAAAAATAAACTTGCTGACATTTTCTGTCAGAGCTTTTGACCTTCATCTTGTAGATGCCCTCCTCTTAAGCTTACATGCTTTCCTGTCCATTTCAACAGCCTGTTCTGGCTGAAAAACAAGAGTACTTCTGAAGACCATTCCTTCTGGAGGTCCTTGTGGCAGCAAGAATTTGAAATGGCATAGATTACTGTTGTTTGTTCCTCCAACAGTTACTGTTGTGGGAGCATTTGGAAGTTTATTGTTTGCTTCAAGTGAACAGCTTGACTTTGGACACTAAACTCCTTTCCAGGGTAGATGGACCCTTGTATGTATTCTGGAGTTTTACAATCCCTAAAATGGCATCATGCTTCTAGAAAGGTGGTGAGCAATTGCTTGGGACACTCTATCTACCGATGCTCCTCATAGTAGTCACTTACTTCAGGAACTGTTTTCACTTCTTTTAGTCTTGAGAGTGGGAATTTAATTATTATGCATATTTACACTCATCAAGAGCAACAGTGGTGGTGTTATCATTGGTCCCATCCTGGACCTGGACACTGTGGACAACAGTGTGTGATTACAGGAACCCCTTTATAAGGATGGGCAAAGATGGTCTGGCACATGGCTAAGGATCTTACCAAATGAATAGTGGTATGCAATATGATCATTATCTCAGCAGACATACTAG